ATACCAAGGGCTCAAGTAGAAAGAAAATGCTTTGAAAATGATGATGGCAACAAATGTACAAATGTGCTTAATACAATGGGTGTATGTATGGATTATGGTGAGTTATATGAGCCCCCAATAAAATGCGTTTTTTTTAAAGAATGGAAAAGGAAACCTGGAAACCTGACAAGATGTTTTCTCTCTAATTGAGGATGTAAAAAAGTAAAATAAAGAACCAGCAAGTTAAGTGACAACAACAAAAGAAGAAGCCAGTGAGTGCTCCAGCCCCTGGGCCCCATGGCTCCCAGCAGAGCTGTGCGGCCACAGCAGGTAAGAAGCCGCACTTGCCTGAGGAATGCTTATCTGCAGCTTCTGCTACACTCCACCTGAAGGTCAGTTTTGTAAAAGCCAATAAAATCTCAGTAAGGTGAAGGCTTTCTTAAATGCAAATCACCAATAAATGTCACATGAATAGACAGAATTATCGAAGCCTATCTGGAAGGTATGTGGCATTTATTTGGATAAAATCCTCAGTTCAACGAAATGAGTTACTGTTTCTTCGGTCACTCTAGCTGGCTCGCAAGAAAAGAACGCCCAGCCTGTGGCCGACCGCACTCACGGTCGTGTGGGGAGAGGCACTCTCAGGTGCGCCTCCGGGCTGCCAACCCTACAGTGTGCGGCTCAATCCTCGCCCGGACGCGCTGAAGGAGAAAGATGAGGCTGACTGCTCTCATGGAGAGTAAGAGCCTCAAGAAACCCTATAGAGGATGGATGTAAGTCAGAATTGACTCAATGGCAGTGGGTCTGGCTTGGTTTGATCCTGTACCACTCTCTTGCTATCAAGATACTTTTAGCTGACTGTAACCAAAGCTGATTGCAGCAAAATTGCCTAGCATGTTAATCTGTTCAAAATTTGATGCTTGGTTTCACGCACTCTGCTGATATTAACGTCCTGCTGCTTCCATATGCTTTTCAATAATTGAGTCACTTGGAAGCATTATTTTAGGAAAATATCATCACATTAAGTATGTGGTTTTCCTGGCATTGTCAACATTTTTTCATACCTTCTGCTCTTTGCAGTTGAATCTAACATTATTGATTTGCTCCATCAAGTAAACATCTCTCTATCTGGCTATCCAATGCCTGGTGACCCTATAAAACTTCCCCCTTTGGATTTTGAAATGTTAAATCTTTGGGGGAATAGACAGCCTCATCTTTCTCCCTCGGAGCAACTGGTAGGCTCAAACCACTGACTTTGAGGTTAGCAGCTCAAGGGGTAGTGCATTGCTCCACCGGGGCTCCAGAGCCAAGATCGGCTTGATGGGACTGAGTTTTGAGTCTATATCTAGCTAGAGCTGAAGATTCCTATGGTGTCCATAAAATAGAATGTATTTGTCAATGAGTCCAATAGAAACATAATGTGACTCCCAGATGTAGCCATGGATGTAACTCTAGATGCCCTACGAGCCACACTGTATTAGTCTGGGTACTTTGGAGAAACAAATCCACAGAAACTCATGTATAAGAGAGAGTTTTATAGAAAGGTTAAGTGTGCATCAAGAAAACATCCCAACCCAGTGCTGCCCAAGCCCACAAGTCCAACATTAATCCGT